GGCTGGAGATTGTTTTCCGGCGGCCCCCTCCGAGGCGATTTCGAGGGCATTCCGGCGGTCATTACCGGCGCCAACGACCGTGATATGTCTCGTACCGGCAGACTTCATGCATCACATGCAGGCATGCAGTCATAATATGTAGGCCTTCTCTCCCACAGTTTTGAGCAATAGCCGCAAAAGGTGCTTCTTGGCACTTCATCGCGACACGTCCAGGTGCCGACGAGGCGGCTTCCCAGCTCACCACCTCGCCTTCCCTGTCGCTCTCCTGGCCCAGGCCCATCAGCAGCAAGCCGGATCTGTCCCAAACCGCACTTATCTTGGGTCTTCAAGGTCACGCCGGCTCGTGATGCCACGGAGAGGGCTCGAGATTGTCTCCGGTGGACCCCATCTGAGCCTATTGTGAGGGCTTTCCGGAGGCAATTACCGGCGCCATCGACCGTGATATGTCCCGACCCACAGCCCTCATGCACCAGGCGCATGCATGCGGTCATAATATGTAGCCCTTCTCTCCCGAAGTTTGGAGCAATAGCCGCAAAAGGCGCTTCGTAGCACTTGCATCGCGACCAGGTCACACGCGGACGCTCCAGCCTCTCAGCTCACCACCTCGCCTTTCCTGTCGCTCTCCTGGCCCAGGCCAATCGATAGCAAGCCTGAGGTGTCTGAAACCGCACTTATGTTGGGTCTCCAAGCTCACGCCGGCTCGTGATGCCACGGAGAGGGCTCGAGATTGTCTCCGGTGGACCCCGTCCGAGGCGACTGCGAGGGCATTACGGCGGTCAATACCGGCGCCATCGACCGTGATATGTCCCGACCCATAGCCCTCATGCACCAGGCGCATGCATGCAGTCATAATATGTAGGCCTTCTCTCCCACAGTTTTGAGCAATAGCCGCAAAAGGCGCTTCGTAGCACTTGCATCGCGACCAGGTCACACGCGGACGCTCCAGCCTCTCAGCTCACACCTCGCCTTCTCTGTCGCTCTCTTGGCCCAGGTCCATCAGCAGCAGGCCGGAGGTGTCTGAAACCGCACTTATGTTGGGTCTCCAAGCTCACGCCGGCTCGTGATGCCACGGAGAGGGCTCGAGATTGTCCCCGGTGGACCCCATCCGAGGCGATTGCGAGGGCATTCCGGCGGTCATTACCGGCGCCAACGACCGTGATATGTCTCGTCCCGCAGACCTCATGCATCACATGCAGGCATGCAGTCATAATATGTAGGCCTTCTCTCCCACAGTTTTGAGCAATAGCCGCAAAAGGTGCTTCTTGGCACTTCATCGCGACACGTCCAGGTGCCGACGAGGCGGCTTCCCAGCTCACCACCTCGCCTTCCCTGTCGCTCTCCTGGCCCAGGCCCATCAGCAGCAAGCCGGATCTGTCCCAAACCGCACTTATCTTGGGTCTTCAAGGTCACGCCGGCTCGTGATGCCACGGAGAGGGCTCGAGATTGTCTCCGGTGGACCCCATCTGAGCCTATTGTGAGGGCTTTCCGGAGGCAATTACCGGCGCCATCGACCGTGATATGTCCCGACCCACAGCCCTCATGCACCAGGCGCATGCATGCGGTCATAATATGTAGCCCTTCTCTCCCACAGTTTTGAGCAATAGCCGCAAAAGGCGCTTCGTAGCACTTGCATCGCGACCAGGTCACACGCGGACGCTCCAGCCTCTCAGCTCACACCTCGCCTTCTCTGTCGCTCTCTTGGCCCAGGTCCATCAGCAGCAGGCCGGAGGTGTCTGAAACCGCACTTATGTTGGGTCTCCAAGCTCACGCCGGCTCGTGATGCCACGGAGAGGGCTCGAGATTGTCCCCGGTGGACCCCATCCGAGGCGATTGCGAGGGCATTACGGCGGTCATTACCGGTGCCAACGACCGTGATATGTCTCGTCCCGCAGACCTCATGCATCACATGCAGGCATGCAGTCATAATATGTAGGCCTTCTCTCCCACAGTTTTGAGCAATAGCCGCAAAAGGTGCTTCTTGGCACTTCATCGCGACACGTCCAGGTGCCGACGAGGCGGCTTCCCAGCTCACCACCTCGCATTCTCTGTCGCTCTACTGGCCCAGGCCTATCAGTAGCAAGTCTGAGCTATCCGTAACCGCACTTATCTTGGGTGATGAAGCCCACTCTGGCTCATACCACGGCTCTCCGGCCTCATACACGCCTGTTTCACCCACAGACACCGCCGGCACGCACTCCCACTTCACATATGCTCAAGCAAAGCCCCACCAAAGCACAGCCCTGATCAGAATGGGCAAGGGCTACCACCTGGTGACCCTGGTAGCCTCTGGCTCGCCACTGCACTCGGCTCCTCTGCAGCGGTCTCGGCTCTCGCCACGACAGCACGCCGACGGCAAGCTTTGAGGTCCGTCGGGTGGACCTGCTGTGGCCGCAGCCGCCCCTCACATGCAGCTAGTACCAGGACTCGACACTGGGCCCGCTCATCTTGGTCGTGGCGGTGTGTGTGAAGGATGCGCGGCCGAGCCGCTGGCTGGCGCCGCTTGAGCGTCCGAGATGGCCGCAGCACAAGCTGTACGCGCTGTCACGCGTGGCGTGCACGGCCGCGATGGGTAGGCTTGTTGTCGGGGCGCGCTCGGCGCCCGAGAGGTGCGGCTCCGGGCTCGGCATCGGCGGTGGAGTGTGAGCGGCCACCAAAGGACCTTTGGTCCGCTTAGAGAGTGCGACAGTTTGCTTCGGTATTCAAAAGAATGCTTTAAGGAGAGGTGTGTGATGCGCTAGCGACCCGAGTTCCTTTTTACGAGTTTTCCACAACATAGCATGACGTTACGAAAACGGATATGGCTCCTCCAGCACCAACGTTCTCTTTGCCAAAGGAGCTCCCGTCGGTGCTGAAGGCCTTCACGCGGGAAGTGCTTCGCGCTAATCCGGCCGACATATACTCCTTCGGCGTAGGTCGCAGCACACGCAGGTGGGAGACCTGATCGGAGAGAGGCCATCGAGACTGATTCGAAGGCGAGGAACGAGTTGGCACTTGGCTCAAACAAATCCGAATCTCGCCTTGTGCTAGGCCGGACCCCTTAACCGCCACACCCTTTGTCAAAAGAGTACGCATCCTGTTCCTCTGGGGGGGCGCGGGGGCCCTAGAGGGCACCCATGCGGGGGGGAGATGGGGTCCCCCGGCCCGCCGCAGGCGCCGATTTTTTCGAGTTTTTTTTAAAGAACGAAAACAGACAACCCAAGGGAGGGATGGGAGGACGGCACGCCGCCACCACACAGGCGCCCGAGTTGCTAGGCAGGATTTCTTTTTTCTTCAATTCGTTCCGCCGCCTGACAAGCTCAGCCTCCCAGCCGCCGCCAGCCCGCTCGCTGCCTCTCCACCGCCTCTGATGACCTGCCCGTTGCTGCGACCCGCATCGCTGCGAGCGGTGCGCGGCCCGTTGCACCTTGCGCGGTCACCCGGCCTCGCCGCGGTCCGGCTCCAGCTCGAGGCGGCCGACGGCCTCCGCCGCCGCCGCTCGTACTGCAGCGCGGCTTTGCACGCGCTCGACTGGCAGCCGCTCGACTCGGGTGGCGCCTCGTGGACGCGCGTGCCAAAGCTGTGGCAAAAGATGGGCGAGGGCGCGGTGTTGCTCCGGGCGCACGGGATCGTGCCGCCAGAGGTTCGCGAGGCGGTGTGGGCGCTCATCCCGCGGCTGAGCTTTGACCGCGACGCGGACAGCGTCGACGGCGCGCCCACCTTTGAGCTGCGCTGGGCGCGGGAAGGTCGCTTCACCCATGACGGCCTCGCGGCGCTCCTTGCCGAGACGGTCGAGGAGCGGCTGCTGCCTCTGCTGCGCCGTTCGCCGCTCTGCGACCAGGGCGGCGGCTCCGAGCTGGTGCTGTGCGAGACTGAATTAATCATGAATAGTTGATTAATAGTTAATTAGGCTCCGAGCTGGTGCTGTGCGAGGCACTCGTGCGGTACTACGAGGACGGGCGCAGGCGCGTCCACCCGGCGCACTTTGACGCCGACGCGCTCGTGACTGCCGTGTTTGAGGTCTCGCCGCCCGACGGCTTCGAGGGCGGCTTCTACGTCCAGCCTGGGGCTCACGTCTCCTCGCGGCTGCCCGTGCGGCTCGAGGCGGGGGAGGTGATCGCGCACTCGTTTGACCTGCAGCACGGGGTCGAGGTGAGCTCCCCATATCTCCCCATCTCTCCCCATCTCTCCCCATCTCTCCCCACCTCTCCCCATCTCTCCCCATCTCTCCCCATCTCTCCCCATCTCTCCCCATCTCTCCCCATCTCTCCCCATCTCTCCATCTCTCCCCATCTCTCCCCATCTCTCCCCATCTCTCCCCATCTCTCCCCATCTCTCCCCATCTCTCCCCACCTCTCCCCACCTCTCCCCACCTCTCCCTGCAGCATGGTGTCGAGGTGCCGTTCTCCGCGCGTTGGCGCCCGCACCTCTGAGCCACTCTGTTCACCTCCGTGCCGCTCCGCACCTCTGCACTCCACACCTCGTTGCCACTGCACCGCTATGCCACTCCGCACCTCCGAACGAGGCTCAGCCTGCACCTCTGAGCTCCGCCGTCGCCTCCTCCCTCCTCCGCGCGCGTCGCCGCCGCGGCCAGGTGAGCTCCGGCACGCGCTGCTCCCCCCATATCTCCCCATATCCCCCCATATCTCCCCATATCTCCCCACATCTCCCCAGGTGAGCTCCGGCACGCGCTGCTCCCTCATCCTCTGGTTCGCCGACTCTGCAGCCGCGTGCAAGGACAAGAGCCGGCCGTGGTACGAGCGCGCCGCCGCCAACGGCAAACGCTCGCCGCTGCAGAGTGCCCCTCAGACGCAGATATGGGGAGATATGGGGAGATATGGGGAGATATGGGGAGAGGTGGGGAGAGGTGGGGAGAGGTGGGGAGAGGTGGGGAGAGGTGGGGAGAGGTGGGGAGAGATAGAGTGCCCCTCAGACGCAGAGCTGAGCGCGAGACTGCGCGTCTCTGCTGTGAGCAGGCAGCGTCGACGCGCTCTACAACCTGGCCAAGAGTCGGCGCGTCGACGACCCGCGCGGCTCGCTCCGCGGCATGCGGGACGCGGCAGAGGCGGGCCACTTCATGGCGCAAAACGACCTGGTGCGAGGCCAGAGCAGCAGCCGCAGCAGCAGCAGCAGCAGCAGCAGCAGCAGCAGCAGCAGCAGCAGGCGCCTGCTCCTGCACACACACACCCTCCTCGATGCCGCGTCTCTCTTCACCAGGCGGGCATGCGGCTCGAGGGACGGGGGCTTGATTAATAGTTAATAGTTCGTAAATAGTCAATTAGGCGGGCATGCTGCTCGAGGGACGGGGGCTGCCCGGCACCGCTACTCGCACGAGGCCGGAGCCTTGCTCCACGCCCGCCGCACGGCCGTCGCCACGACTCGCGTCGCATAGGCGCGGAGCCAGGACACTTCCGTGAACCTTCTATGTGCCTTCCATGATCCTAGACTTGGCTCCGTGCAGGCGCGGAGCCGGACGAGGCGGGCGCGGAGCGGTGGCTCAAGGAGAGCGCCGGGCAGGGATTCTACCGCGCGATGGTCGGGCTGGCCGTCCTGTGGGGAGATATAGGGAGACATAGGGAGATATGGGGAGATATGGGGAGATATAGGTCGGGCTGGCCGTCCTGTGCGCTCGCCGCGAGAGGGCGGAGGAGGCGCTGTCGTGGCTGCGGCGGGCGGCGGAGCAGCGGGCAGACCCGGAGGCGTGCGGGCCGCATGAGTGGGAGTAGCGAGCAGGAGTAGGAGTAGCGAGCAGGAGTAGGAGTAGACACTCTGCCCCTGTCCGGAGGCGCGGGCCGCAGAAGAGCCTTCATCTGCCTCGCACCCGTGCCACATTCCTACAAGCACGCGCCCCTTTCTTCCCGCCGCCCTCCGCCGCGCAGGTGCTATTTGCGTTGGGGATGAACTATTTGCACGGCACTCTCTCCGCCGCCAAAGACGCGGACCTCGCCGCAGAGTGGCTCGGCGGAGCGGCGGAGATGGGGCACCCAGCGGCGCAGGCGCAGCTCGGGCTGCTGCTGCTCAGCGGCGCCGACGGAGGGGGCGGGGAGGGGGCGAGCGGCGCCGAGTTGTGGCTGCGCCGTGCACACGAGCAGGGCAGCTTCGACGCCGCGACCGCCCTGGCCGGTCGGTACTTGCGCGGCGGCAGAGTCGGCGAGCTGGGCGGCCTCGTCGTGGGAAGGCTGCGGAGGGCCGGGCACGTCTCGTCAAAGTGGAGCTGGAGGTAGCGCGTAGCGGGCGTTGTAGCTTGTACAGACAGACCGCTACACTCTACAGTCATGTCTCATGAGGGTCAAAAACGCGCGTTAAAACGCGTTCCTCTTGAGGTTGTCGTGTTGTATGCACATCGCCTGTTATTCTGATTTCCCGCTCTTTTCGCTTTCGAGAGGGGGAGCGGTGCACACTTCTGGAGTGAGTGGGGACTCTGGAGTCTGCTCGCGCAGCTCGTCTCGACAGGGTCTCTCTCGGTGCGACTCGCTTATCTCCGCAGTAATCAACGACAGGGAGAGTGCCAGCGGGGCCCCTCCGTCGGAGACCGCCCCTCGCGCACACGCGCGCAGCGCGTCATGGAGTCATGTGTGTACAGCTGCAAGTGTCAGGTCGCAAGTCGGTCCGATCCGGACGCGGTCGCCACGCACCGCGCGGCGTGTTCAGCGCAAGTGCCGCGTGCCGCCTCAGAAGCCGGGCGACATGACGCGCACGTGGTGCTCGGCGGCGGAGATGGTGCGCCCCATCGCCTCGACCGTCTCGCAAGGGAACTTGCCGACGGCGCACTCCCCGGAGAGCATCACCGCGTCGCTGCCTATAAAAAAGAAACACGCGCTCAAAAAGAAATAGAGCACTCGCCGGAGAGCATCACCGCGTCGCTGCCGTCGAAGATTGCGTTCGCGACGTCGCTGACCTGGCGGGAGATATGGGGATGTAGGGGGAGATGGGGGGAGATAGGGGGAGATATGGGGAGACTTCTCGAGCACGTCGCTGACCTCGGCGCGCGTTGGCACGGGCGCGTCGATCATCGACTCCATCATCTGCGTCGCGGTGATGCAAAACTTGTTCGCCTCGTTTGCTTTCTTGATGAGGAACTTTTGGGCGAAGGGCACCCGCTCCAGGCCGAGCTCAACGCCTAGAGACGAGCACCATCTCTCCCCATATCTCCCCATATCTCCCCATATCTCCCCATAGCTCGACGCCTAGAGACGACCACACCACACCACTCGCCGCTCAGGAGACTCGGCGGCACGGTCGGCGCGCCGCGGGCGAGGGGGGCGGCGGTGCCGAGGTCGCCGCGCGCCACCATCAGCTAATCTCGGGCTGATCTCGGGCTAATCTCGTGCCGAGGTCGCCGCGCGCCACCATCAGCCCGTCGGAGAGGGCGAGGATCTCGTCAATGTTCTTGAGTGCCGCCGGCTTCTCGATCTTTGGGATGATGAGGGGGCGCTGCTCCTGGGGAGATATGGGGAGATATGGGGAAGATATGGGGGAGATCTGGGATGATGAGGGGGCGCTGCTCCTTGGGCATTCCCTTTGCGTCCATGATGTCGATCAGCTCCTGGGGAGATACGGGGAGATATGGGGAGATATGATGACGATCGGCTCCTGGAGTGCCAGAGATTCGCCCGAGATTCGCCCGAGATTCGCCCGAGAGTGCCCCGAGAGTGCCCCGAGACGAGGACGACTCGCTCCTGGATGTCGCCGCCCTTTTGCATATCAGATCTCCCCATACCTCCCCCATATCTCCCCATAGCTCCTGGATGTCGCCGCCCTTTTGCATATCAGATCTCCCCATACCTCCCCCATATCTCCCCATAGCTCCTGGATGTCGCCGCCCTTTTGCATGTCAGATCTCCCCCATACCTCCCCCATATCTCCCCATAGCTCCTGGATGTCGCCGCCCTTTTGCATATCAGATCTCCCCATACCTCCCCCATATCTCCCCATAGCTCCTGGATGTCGCCGCCCTTTTGCATGTCAGATCTCCCCCATACCTCCCCCATATCTCCCCATAGCTCCTGGATGTCGCCGCCCTTTTGCATGTCAGATCTCCCCCATACCTCCCCCATATCTCCCCATAGCTCCTGGATGTCGCCGCCCTTTTGCACGAACGAGACAGCCATGTAGTCCACCTTGTCGATCAAGTACCTGCAGCGCGAGTTCGCGGCGAGCCGTCGGGAGAGGGCGACTTCGGAGGCGGCGCCCTCGGCGACGGTTCCGCACGCGGCGTCGTCGCGGTCCTTGGCGGTGAGGGCGGCGCCTAGGGGAGGTGCCTCGGGGACGTGTCATGGACGCGTCCCGGACATGTGCAGTTCCCTCGGCTGTGAGGGGTAGTGTACAGTCGATCTGAAGGTCGGGCACGTTGATACCCTTGCGGGACTTGAGCGGCCCTCCGATTGTGATCTGGCAGCGGACCTAATTCATTAACGGTGAGCTGTTAATTAACTATCAATTAACGAGCCGCCGATTGTGATCTGGCAGCGGACGGTGTCGGGCGAGACGCGCTCCGTCACCTGCGGCGGTAGGAGGGTGGGAGAGGGGCGGGGGGTGAGGAGGGGTCCGGTTGAGCGCTGTGGCGCCGCAAGCTATAATCACAGGGAGGGCCGTCGCCGGCTGATCTCGACTGATCTCGGCCGATCTCGGCCGATCTCGGCTGATCTCGAGCGGCCTTCATCGCGAGGAAGCCGTCGTTGAGCAGCACGTCCATCCCAACCTCACGACTCAGAAACCAAACCCTCAAGACGGACCACCCTCGTCGCTGCGCACGCCCCCCCCCACGCCCCTCCCACCTCAAGCCCGCGCAGCATCGCGTTCTGCTCCGTCGTGTCGGCGAGGGTGATCCGGCCGGGGACGGTGAGGTCGGCGTCGCTCTGCATGAGCGCCATCTCGACCGTCTCGCCTGATCTCGGGGGCATCTCGGCTGAGCGGGAGAATCTCCGAGAATCTCGGAGAATCTCTACAGAGAGGTGGCGGGTCCCGCCGCTCTCTCGTGCAATCTCGTGGAATCTCGTGGAATCTCGTGGAATTTCGTGGAATCTCGTGGTATCTCGTGGTATCTCGTGGTATCTCCGCGCGCCGACGACCAGCTCCACCGCCTCTCCCTGCACGGTGCCGCACCGGAACTTGGGGCCTTGCAGGTCTCCGAGGATGTAGACTTCGCGGCCGAGCTTGGCGGCGGCGGCGCGGATGATTGGAACGATCCGCTCGAAGTCGCCGCCTTGCCTGCGGCCGAGGGGGCGAGGTGCCGCTGTGAGGCGAGGGGCGTAGCGGGGAGGGCGCGGGGAGATACGGGGAGATACGGGGAGATACGGGGAGATGTGGGGAGATAGCGTCAGGCGCCGGTGCGACGAGTTGAGGCGAAAGATGTCCAGGCCGGACTGGATGAGCTTCTCGATCATCTCGGCGGTCATGGTCGCCGGCCCCAGCGTGCCAACCACCTTGCCTAGCCTCGCGAGCGGGTCGTCCGGCCGCCAATTGAGCAGCTCCGAGCCGATGTCGAGCGCAGAGCTCGGCCCGTTGTGCTTTCCGCTGTAGCCCGCGCCGCCGACCGGCGCCGCAGAGACGGAGGAGGCGGCGCTCATCGTCGCGGTCGGGCCGGCGCCGCCGCTGCCACGGGAGAGCGCGAGAGCGGCGGTCAGAGAGGGCAGGGAGACGGAGTAGGGAGAGAGACGCGAGCGGGACGGCGCCGGCGCGGGAGAGGCTTCACCCGGCGCTGCGCTTGGCGAGGTACTCGGCGAATGACTCGGCCTTGTGGATCGCCTGCTGCTTGCCCTTGGGGTCGTTGGGATCGTAGACCGTCGGCTCGGGGTCGCGCGTGGCCTCGCCGCCGCCGAAGCCCTTTCCGCCGTGCTGCAGCACGATCTGCGCGCGGCGGTGCTGGGCGGCCATCGGCACGGCGACAAAGGCGGAGGCGGTGATGCACTGCATCGCGAGGAGAGTGTAGAGCATGGTGCTCGGCGGGTGGGTGCGGGAGGCCGCGGAGGTTTGAGACGCCGGCGAGCTCAGAGCCGGATCTGTGTCCACGAAAAAGAAATAGTGAACTGGGGGCAGAGTCTGGTGCATATCCAAGTCTTAATACATGTACTGCTACTATGCCAGGAGCATATGGAGCGGCCCCGGCGTGCATTGCAACCAGTTCATTGCAACTAGCAGCCGGATCTGAGTCGGCTTATTGCATGCGGAATTTCTTTTCCAGATATTTTCTTTTTTAAGCCTGGTTGCTCTTTCGAGGTCTCGCCGACGCTCTGCTCCAAGAGACCTCGAGACCTCGACGAGCGTGCTTTTGCGCCGGGCTCGACACAGCGACGCTACCGGCCACACCCGAACACCAACGGCTCCGCAACTCTCGACGCGATGCACACTCCACACCGGGAGCCGCAAGCCTCAGCTTACGGTGGCGGCGAATGCTAGCTGTATTCGCTGGGCGTGCCACGGCGCCGGCCGGCCCACATCGTGCCGAAGCCGCAAAGTTGTGCCTGCTCAATCGTGCTGTCACTCGTGACCGCTTCGCGCCTACGTTGCTGCCACGGAGGCGCGCCGGTGTCATGTCCATTGGCGAGCAAATCATCAGACCGCGCGTGCTGCGCACGCAGCCACGCCGGCGCAGCGTGAAAGCTCTCGCCGCAATCCCAGTGCGAAGGCAGCCACCGCAGCCCAACAAGGCTGGCGCCGAGGCCAGCAGCGCGTTGCCACCCCCGACCCGATCACACCGCGGCGGCGACGCCGCCTTTGCACCGACGCGGCTGCCTTGCTGACGCCGTACCAACCTGCAGGGTGACGAGCCGCTCGCGGAGCCCAGAGCCGGTTGGTGCTGCTGTTGTCGGCCGGCCGGAGTGTCGCCGTGAGAAGCACGGCGCTGTCGGGCGGCGGCGAGCATCGAGATCGGCAGGGCGACATGCGTCCCGCTGCGGGCGGCGGCAGCACGTGGCGGGTGTACCTTTACGCCGCCGCCCGCACACAGCCAGGCTCACGAGCTGCCGCCAGAGGCTACGCCACACATTGACAGCCGCCGCACCTCCGCGTACTGGTCAGTTCGGCCCTCGTGAGCGGGCTAGACGCGTCCTTCTTCCCGGCCGGGCGCTCGAGCTCGAGCAGATCCGGGCCCAAGAGGCGAGAACGACCGTCCTCGTGGGCGAGGTCGAGTCTGCCGGCCGGCGGTGGGCGCGAGAGGCTGTGAGATGCGGAGAGCGGCTGCTGACGGGCGGGGTGGTAGGTGGCCGGTCGTGTGGAGGCGCGGTCGTGGCGGGCGACACACCGGCAGAGAGGCGACCCGTGTGCATAGCGTGTGGGTCTGTCGCCGTGCGGCGTGTGTGCGTCTGTGCTCTGTGGCGGATGTGTGCGTGGCCGGGTTGTGGGCGGGCCGTGCATCGGCCTCGCTGCGTAGTCACGTAAAAAGGCGCCCAGTCGACTCTATTTCAGCGCAGTACTAGAAGCGACCCAACCCCACCATAGGAGTAATATCGTACAAAGGACACGGCCAAAGGCCCGACTCTCTGCAGCACACAAGCACACCTCCGGCTCACGAACAGTCTGCTTCACACCCTGTGCGCAGCGAGGAGGAGCACAACACAAGTGCGCCGAGGCCTCGGATCGCACGTCCCCAGCCCCGCCCCACTCCCCTCCCGCAGACGTGGTTCGGAGGCGCGGGCGGCGAGTCGTACACACAGCCATCGAAGGGCTCGCTCTGGCCTGCGCTCTCTCTCGACTCTCTCTCGCCTCGACGCCGCAGCCGCGCCTCGAGAGGCGCCGCCGCCGCGGCCGAGGGCTCAAGGCAGCTCGCGTCGCCGCCGCCGCCGAGCCGCCAGACACCTCCGCTCACTCCGTCGCGCGGCCACGCCGCAGCCGCGTCGCCCGCCCGCCGCCGCCGCTCTGCTGCTGGCCAGAGACGATGGCGCTCACTCCGCCTCGTTGAGCTTGCGACGCTTGACCTGGCCGACGGCCAGGTTGTCCTTGGTCGCGAGCCCGCCCTCCGCCCGGCAGCGCTTGAGGTGCGCGGCGAGGTCCTTCTCGTTGTTGCCTGCGAGCGAGCAAGGGTGTGGGACGTGAGAGAGGAGGGTGGGTGGCGAGCGTGGTTTGAGAGACAGAGTGGGGGAGGGGGGAGCAGCGCACTCTTGCCGCGGTCGGCGTACGACACCCAGCCGCAGACGCAGGCAGAGCCGATCACGCAGTGGCCGTCCGCCCCGGACTTTGTCTTCTGCCCCTCGCCGCACGTCGGGCAGTGGAAGGGCCAGATGCCGGTGTGCTTGGGCTCGTGCTCCTTGTACTTCGACAGGAACTTGAAGCTCTCGCCGCAGCCATCCCACAGGCAGCGCTTGTTGTCGTGCTCGACGCCGTGCGTCGCTGCGCACGCCCACGCCGCGTCGGCCGTGTCGTGCAGCGAGTCGCAGCTCGGGCAAACGAAGCCCTTGCGAGGCGGGTCGCCGATGGAGTGGAGCGCCTCGTGCCGCCGCACGTTGGAGAGGATGATGTTGCCGCTGCTCCGGAGGCTGCACCTGACCCACGGCTTCGCGCAGCCGTCAAAGAGGCACTTGACCTGCGGCCAGGCGGCGAGGGGGGGCGTGGGCCTGCGCTGGAGACGAGGCGACCGGCACGAGGCTCGGTGCTCTCCGCGGCGTGCGCTGCGGGGCGGGGCGGGGCCCTCTGCGCGGACGGCGAGTGAGGGCGGCGGCTACTCTACTACGCGCGGCCTCTCGCCTCGTTGCCGTCGCGGACCTCGCGGCGCGGCTCGAGCCCGGGGTGGGCGCGCTCGATGTGCTCGAAGATCCCCTCCGCCGTGTCGCGGAACTGAAGGCGGGGGGGGAGGCGGCGGTGACGGAGGGAGAGGGGCGCGCGCAGAGAGGCGGCGGGGTGTGAGGAGGCGGCGAGGGGGTGAGGCGGAGTGAGGGTTGGCGGCGGCGAGGGCGGAGGGGTGGGTTAGGGCGGAGAGGGGGAGGGAGGCCAGAGGGCGGAGGGCAAGACTCGCCTCGTCGCAGTCGGGTTTGAGGCACACGAAGCCGCGGCCGCCGGGGGCGACGCTCGCAAAGGCGCCGCGGGTCTTGACGATCTTCTTCTTGCGCTCGCCGCCCGCCTGCGGACGTGGCGATGGGAACAGGCGGCGGTCGACGCACGAGAGGGAGGGGGGACGGGGAGGCGGCGCGGAGCATCGCCGGGCGAGCCACAGGCAGCCATCGCGAGAGCAACCCCCCGCGCCAACCCGCCTCCGCCGCATGTGGGGTGCAGAGGGCGCGCAGGGCACCTTGGCCTTGCCGCCTGTCGGCGCCTTCTTGGCCGCCTTCGCCTTGCGGGAGGGCTTGGCGGGCGCCTGCGCGACAGAGGGAAGGGCTGTTAGTGCGCGCCACGAGAGCGACGCGCGCGGGCTCCCTGACTATCAAGGCCCGACCGTCCCCCCCCCCCCCCCCGCCCCTTCTCCCCTCTACCCCTGCGCACCCGCGGCGCTCCGAGCGTCTCAAAGTCGAAGTCGGAGCCGTCGCCGTCGCTCTCGCTCCCGTCGGAGATTTCGGCCACGCTCCCCTCCTCGTCCTCGTCCTCGTCCTCCTCCACCTCCTCGCCGTCCTCGCCAAGCATCGCCGGCGGCTGCGCAGAGGGAGGGGGGGAGAGCAGCGCGTCAAGTCAGAGGCGATGGGGGGCCGCGATGGGGCGGTCGCTAGAGGGGGCGGGAGGCGCCCGGGGGCGGTGGCGGGGCGACCCTCCCGGCCACGGGTGGGGCGGCGGCGGCGGCAGGCGGCGGGGACGGCGTCGGCGGGTGGTGGCGGCGGCGGAGGTGTCGACGGTGGAGGTGTGACTGTGGCGGGCGGGGCCTGGCTTGCGCGCAGACAGGGGGGCAGCCCGACGGCGGCGGGGCGGGGAGGAGGTGGCGGTGGTGGTGGAGGCGGTGGAGGGGGAGGCGGTGGAGCGGGAGGCGGAGGCGACAGGCTGGGCGGTGGCGGACTGGGTGGCGGCGGCGGTGGCGGTGGCGACGGCGGCGGCGACGATGGGGTGGGGCTCGGGAGGCGTGGCAGCGGCGACTCGAACGTGGCACGGTGGCGGAGGCGTTGGAGGGGGAGGCGCGGTGGCAGAGGAGACGAGGGGCGGGCGGGGGTTGCGTCCAGGGCGCGGAGGGCGGCCGGGTGAGGGCGGGCGGTGCGTCGCGCGGCTCTGGGTGGGGGCGGCGGCGCACGAGGTAGTTGGGCTGGTTGTAGTCCGCCGACGCCTGGCGCGCCGAGGCGCGAGTCGGCGCCGAGCTTGTCGAGGGCTGCTCGCGGCGCTCGTTGGCCTTCTTCTCGGCCTCGCTGCGCTCGTTGCGGATGTCCTGGCAGAGCAGCGGGGAGGGCTAGTGAGAGCGTGATGTAGAGGAGGTGAGCGAGAGGAGGAGGCGAGTGCGTGCGAGACAGGAAGAGGCGAGAGAGGGTGGCGGGGTGCGAGCGAGTCCGGTGGCGAGAGGTAGGTGGGCTGTGTGAGCGAGAAGGGAGGGGAGCGAGGGAGGACGGGTGGCCTGCACGAGCGTCGTGATGCCGAGCTTGACGAGCATCTGCTGGTTCTCGATCACCTGCGCCGAGGGGGGTGGGCGTGAAGCGAAGCGGAGTCTGGTCGCTGGGAAGGTGTGCCTCGGTGGGTGCGTGGGTCGGGAGGCGTACAGCTGGGGTCGGGGAGGCGGCGCCGGGGGTGGGCGTGGCGGGGCTGCGGAGGGTCGGCTGCGGCCTCGCGTCGGGCGGCGGAGGTGTGTTGGGCGGCGGAGGTGTGCTGTGGTTGCCTCTCTGGGGCGAGCGTGAGGCTGCAGCTGAGAGGGGGCGGTGGGGGATGTGGCCGTGACGGCATCGTGGGAGCGCGCGAGGGCGGTGGAGGCGGACGCGCGGGTGGTGGCTGGGCCGGCAGGGATGGCGATGGTGGGCGAGTGCCGACGGGCGGGGCTGCGAGGCATGTGCGGGTGGTGTGCGGCCTCGGTCACGATGGCGACGGCGCCGTTGCAGCGTGGTGGGGCGAGGGTGGCGGGGAGGCTAGAGGGAGAGGCGGCGACGAGGGCGGAGGAGGAGGCGGGGCGGCCGTCCGTGTTGGCGGAGGTGGCAGTGGCGGTAGCGTGGTTGGCGGCTGTGGCTGAAGGCGTGTCGGGGGGTGGGAGGATCTGCATCGCATGAAGCGAAGCGGAGTCTGGTCGCTGGGAAGGTCGACGTCTCGCGTCGGTGGGTGCGTGGGTCGGGAGGCGTACTGCAGGGGTCGGGGAGGCGGCGCAGGGGGTGGCCGTGGCGGGGCTGCGGAGGGTCGGCGGCGCCTCACGTCGGGCGGCGGAGGTGTGTTGGGCGGCGGAGGTGTGCTGTGGTTGGCTCTCTGGGGCGAGCGTGAGGCCGCAGCGGAGAGGGGGCGGTGGGGGATGTGGCCGTGACGGCATCGTGGGAGTGCGCGAGGGCGGTGGAGGCGGACGCGCGGGTCGTGGCTGGGCCGGCAGGGATGGCGGCGGTGGGCGAGTGCCGACGGGCGGGGCTGCGAGGCATGTGCGGGTGGTGTGCGGCCTCGGTCACGATGGCGACGGCGCCGTTGCAGCGTGGTGGGGCGAGGGTGGCGGGGAGGCTAGAGGGAGAGGTGGCGACGAGGGCGGAGGAGGGGGCGGGGCGGCCGTCCGTGTTGGCGGAGGTGGCGGTGGCGGCAGCGTGGTTGGTGGCTGTGGCCGAAGGCGTGTCGGGGGGTGGGAGGATCTGCATCGCATGAAGCGAAGCGGAGTCTGGTCGCTGGGAAGGTCGACGTCTCGCGTCGGTGGGTGCGTGGGTCGGGAGGTGTACTGCTGGGGTCGGGGAGGCGGCGCAGCGGGTGGGCGTGGCGGGGCTGCGGAGGGTCGGCTGCGGCCTCGCGTCGGGCGGCGGAGGTGTGTGGCCGGCGGAGGTGTGCTGTGGTTGGCTCTCTGGGGCGAGCGTGAGGCCGCAGCTGAGAGGGGGCGGTGGGGGATGTGGCCGTGACGGCATCGTGGGAGTGCGCGAGGGCGGCGGTGGCGGACGGGCGGGTAGTGACTGGGCCGGCAGGGATGGCGACGGTGGGCGAGTGCCGAAGGGCGGGGCTGCGAGGCATGTGCGGGTGGTGTGCGGCCTCGGTCACGATGGCGACGGCGCCGTTGCAGCGTGGTGGGGCGGGGGTGGCGGGGAGGCTAGAGGGAGAGGTGGCGACGAGGGCGGAGAAGGGGGCGGGGCGGCCGTCCGTGTTGGCGGAGGTGGCAGTGGCGGTAGCGTGG